GGAGGCAGCGGCACCGGCCCCGCCGCGTCCGGCCACGGGCCACGGTGAGCCGCTCCCCGCAGGGATGCGCCTCGGGGTCCCCTTCGCCCTGTCCCTTCCCCTTTCCCCCCGTGCTGTCATTTGCGATGACAGCAGCAGCAGGTCTTGTCCGCCTGCCTTCTCCCAGGTGGGACTGCAGAGAAATTCTGTTTCACAACCGGGCGCTGAGCCTTCCGTGCTGTAGCAGTTGCTATTTCTTGTCATTGAGATGGGTCGGATGCTTGAGTTACAAAACTAATTTAGAAAATTCGGTTTAGGAGATGTTTTCTGCTTTCATTTCTTTTAAGCCACGTTGAGAATTGCTGTTTATATACATAGTAATTATTTTTCAAAGGTCTGAATTTCCGGATGTCTCACACAAGAACAATTACCCATTTTCCCAAAAATAGATGCATTGAATTGCTACTGTTTGGTTGGCTCTGAGGATTTTTATTCATCTGCCTTACATTTATGCTGGTCATGACTTGGTGTTGCTAAAAGGCAAAGCTGTTTTTGTCTGCCAACACATGGTTGACTGAGGACTCCTGGATGATGGAGAGATTCCCAGGGTGATTCTGTTTGCTGCCCAGAAGGGCTCCTGCTGTATCCACCAGACTTAACAGTGCTCCTGTAGATCCACGTCACTGTGGGTCGAGACTCTGGCCTTGAAAGGCTTCTTGCAAAGTTGTTTACACACAGAAAATAAGCTCATCTTGCACGTTATGGTTTTATTTTTGATGTTTTCCCCTCAGCTCAATAGTAAGTCATACAGAGAGAAGAAAAAAAGAGAGCAGGTTGGGTTTTTTAGTCATTGGATGGGGTTTCCTAAAGTTCTTTTGGATAGGTTTGGGTTTTTTGTCAGTAGAAAAATGAACTAGACTTAGGGTTGAGAGGCATTTAAATACTTTTTTGCTGTGAACCCATCTTTTTAAGTCCACAGTCACTGTCCTGGGAGGAAAAACTCCATCTTAACATGGTTAAGGTCTGTCATGCTAAAATCTAATAGCTGCTGGCAGAATTAAGAGCAATGACACTGTTTCACTACAGTTTTATCAGATGTAAAATTTGTTATTTGAATATTTTTAATATTTTGGAACTTTGAATGTCCCTTGGGCTTCAAAGACAAACACAAATCATGTCCTCCTAGCACAAGTATGTTCCCTCTCTCCTTGCTATGTCTGCTTGATGCCTCCTTGGAATATCCTACTCTGCAGTACCAGAGGTTTTTTTGTAGGAGCTGTGATTGTAGCTCAACGTGCAGAAATCTGTCTGTGACCTCCTGCTTTGGAGCTGCCTATGTTTTAAAAATTCCTGACCTTCCCATCTCAGGCTGCTGCCTACGGATTGCAGCAGCCATGGTGACCTGAGCCACTGCTGCAGGCACTTGGTGATTTATTGCCTGTGTCAGTCCCTCAGTAAGAGGGACAAATTTTTGGGAGAGGAGAGGCAAAACCTCCTGTAGAGCAGCCAAACCTCTTGCAATCCCATGAGAGAGGAGAAAGGAGAGCAGGCTGGCTCCAGGGTTACTGGGGAATTGCTGAAAGAGAAAAAGCATTTGAGACATTTCGTTTTGTTAGGTGCATTTGGAACTGTGAGAAATTGGGAGGCCTGTTGAATGGTGTAATCAGAGAGGAGAGAGGAGACCCCTCTGAGCCTGTCAGGGCTCAAATATCAGTTCTGAGAATAAAAATCCTGTTCTCAGAATAAAAATCCTGCCTTGGAAAGTGCAGTTATTTTTCTCTCTTGTGTTTCCCTCTTTTTCCTGCTTTCAGTTTCATACTAAAACAGTTCAGTTCATCAACGGGCACTTTGTTTCTAAATAGAATAAACTTGTAATTCCTCTTTATGCCCTCAAATTAGGCAAGAAGCATGACCAAGATGAACTGCATCCTGCTGACCACCTGCATTGTTCTGATTGCTTTTTGTGGCTCTGGTGAGTAGAAGAGAGGGACTATGTGGTTTCATGTTATGACAGAGGCTGAGAAAATCATGGAAAAAATGCCAAAGGGAGGAAAAAGAGTGAGAAAGGCCTAGATTATTTAATATCACTGTGGGGAATGTCAGTAACCATAAAAGCAGGGCTCAGATTCTGTTCTGATTGTCTTGGGTCAGGAGAGAGAATTGGGGTCAGGATGTGGTACTGCTTAACACAACAGAAAACTAGTATTTTGCTGCTAGAAAATGGGATTCCTCCTGTGTGAATTGGAAACCAGTGTGTAGTATGGGGAGAGGGAAAGGAGATGGAATTTAAAAAATTGATAGAATAAAACTCAGCTGTATCTGCCATTGCCTGGAAAAGGCAATCTTCAACATTTAATATCTTGCTCTGCAGGCAGATAATGGTGTTTTTAAAAGTGACATAAATGCATGCTTCAAGATGTGCCTATCAAAATTTCCAGCCTCAATTGGTACACTGACATAAGCTTGTCAATTTTAACTAAAGTCTTGAGTTTAACAATTTTAGCTGAAGTCTTGAGCTTAATAACCAGGCATATGTTTTGTGACAATTAGATGCAGATAAGTGATTATTCTTTTTTTTTTTTTTCTTTTCCTTTTTAATGATGCTGCTGCTGTCTCAGTAGTTTATTACTCAGTGAAGATAAACCCTTGTTGTCTTAGGTTATACCTTAAGATGTTACCACTGTGACAACAGCCCTACCGTGTGCAGGACCAACAGCACCTGCTTAACGACTGAAGACACTTGCTTGCAGTTGAAATTTGGTATGTACAGTGTCCCACAGACCTAAAATAAACCCACTTGGATCAGCTTTCATTACCTCTAATCTGGCCCTAGCATGCATTTCTCAGCCTCACTCGAAAGGAGCTTGCAAATACTCTTGAAGGTCATACTTATATCCGAGCCATAATGTGTGATTTAGATAGGTGAGTTGTAGCTGTACAAGCATGTACATAGTTAGCTGTATATACAGATTTAGAAAATAAGCAAACAAATAAACAAAAACACACACAAGGGAGCTTGAAAAAAAATAAGACATTGAATTTAAAACACAATTTCTTATTCTTTGTAAACAGATAAAGGATGCCTAGCCCACAAAATAAAGCTGCAGATAAATGGCTCAGTCATTTATGAATTGACACTATTAAAATAAATTCTCTTTTCCTGAGGGTGAAGTGATTCATATCTCAGGAAAGACACCTTTAACTAGATCAGGTTGCGCAGTTTGGCCTTGAATGTTTCCAGGGATGGGACATCCATCACCCTTCTGGACAATCTGTGCCAGTGTTTTACCACCCTTATCTACTCTTCTGGCTCTGTCTTCTGCACATTTTTCAGAGAGCCTTGTCAACTGCTGGCCTAGGCTGCTCAGGGCAGTGCTAGAGTCCCCATCCCTGAAGGGATTTAAAAGCCATGTGGATGTGGCACCTGGGGACATGGGCTAGTGGAGAGCTTGGCAGTGCTGGGTCAAAGATTTGACTTGATGATGTCAGAGGTCTTGTTTAGCCTAAATGATTCTGTGAGTGCAGGCTGAGCTGGCTGGTGATGCCAGGTACTACTCAAGCTCCACCCTGTATTTCCCAGTGGGTGAATTGGATACACACAGCTAAATTCCCAGTGGAAGCAAATTTGGAAACTTCTAAATACCTGAATTTAAAAAAGCAAGTACATGGCCATGGCAAAAACAAAACTATAAGGCTGAGGCTGGGAGCACAAATGGCCCATGAACTATGGGACACAAGACTTTACAAAAAGTGTCCCTCCTGGGGAGGGTGAGAGGCCAAGCGCAGTGATCTGTCCTTGAAATTTCATGTCAAATTGTCATTCCCAGTTTGCTATGAAATTTGGGGGTACATTTTATATCTTATTAGCCACTGCTGTGCAAAGCACTGTGGGTGGGACTGTGGTCAGACATTCCACTCTTTGTACAGAATATTTCTTACTAGGAGGTTTGTGCAACACATTTCTGAGTGTGGGGTCAAAGAACCAGACCATGCAGCTTCTGCCTCCCTCCACTGCCCCTGATGCCATGGCAACACAAGACCGTAAGGCCTCCATCCAATTTCTGTGTTTATACCATGGGCCCTGTCACAGACTAAGCTTTGCCTTCTCCTCACTGTTTTATTCTCTAACAGTGGCAGTCTAAGCATTGCTTCTCTCTCCCTACCAAAAATGGTGTTACTGTCAGTACTCTCTTAATCTGTTTAATTTTTTTTGTTCCATAGGTAAATTGAGAACTTTCTCCTGCTGGAAGGCATCCCAGTGCAGTGTGAATGAAATTGCTGATTCCTTCCTGTTGGATAATTTTGAATTCTTTTGCTGCCAACACGATCTGTGCAATGAGAGTGCGATTACTGGGGTTAACAAAGCAGCCTTCAGTATTGCTTCTGTAATGGCCATGTTATGGATGCTCCTGTAATAATCCTGGTTTGTAAGCTGTCCTTTCAAGATGAAGTTACACAAAACCATTAACTCTTTTCTATATTGCATATTTTCAGCTCCTATCCATAGGCAGAAACATTCCTGTGTAATTTTAAGTTGTTTCCCAAGGTTCTGTCTGTTAAATCACTGTCTCCATTAATGGGAAGGAGATGTGTGTTGTTACCATCTGTTCTGATCTGTTCCCCTGTTCATGGGGGAGATCAGCTCTTGTGAAGTGGTGTTATCTTGTGGAGAACCTGGGCAAACTCCAGTGGGTGATGTGAAGGAGAAGGAACACTGCAGCTTTTCTGCTGGAAATTGTCATTTTTTTCCTGTCCCATAAACTGTCATTATTTTTGGTTGGCATTTCTGTGGGTTTTGATTTGTTTTGCTTTGGATCCTCCTTGTCACAAGCCAAGCAGTAGATTTGCCCTCAACACAATACGTGTTGGATCATAAGTGTACCTTGCTGCAGTCTTTGTGATGAATATGGAAATATTCAGTTTCAAGTCATGTAAACACTTTGTTCCCATCACTGTATGTTTGGTTTTTTTCTACAAGCCAATGATATAACCTTGTCAAGTGCTGTTATTTTGGGTGAAAGCATCTACATTTCTTAAACCAAAACCAAAATACTGTTACAAGTGAGAAACACTTCTCTCTCTTTTTTTTTTTTTTTAATATATAATATTTCTGTGAGCATGTAGACAACATGTGATAACTTCCTTTTTGATATTCCTCATACATTATCCAGGCTTAGGATTTTAAGTGAGCATGTGCTTTGCACTGAGTATTTATTGGTATACTGAAAATCAATTATAATATACTAAGGAGTTGAAATGGCACATGTAGGTTACTTCCCCACTAGCTTTTGGATTTTGTTTAAAACAGTGACATGTAAACTTAACCCTTCAAGCTTCCACCTAAGAGTATTAAAATCTTGTAGAACTTTCTTTCCATAAATGCCAATGCACAGTATAGGTGTGTATTTATATAGCATGAATAAAAACTGCTCCATCTGTAGGTGTGAGGGGTCATATACTGAAATACTTGCTGTGGTGGAGACATACCTTGGGATATCTCTGGTACCTGGGGACCCTCTCAGTCAGGTGGGATGCCAGATCCTCCTTTTTCTTCTTCTGGAGCTGAAGATATCCCTGCCAGAGTTGTGTCCATTGCCAATGAGATACCCTCTTCTTGAGGACTCTTGCTTGTGGTCTTGACACTTGTGACACCAGTTCACCAGTCACAAGGGTGAACAAGGGTGTTGTTCCAAATCCCCAATGTATTCCACAATGTACCTTTTGGTTGAGCTTATTGTAGCTATGAAAGTGTCCTGGGATCTCTCCCGTCACTTGAAATACGGAAGTCGTCCTGTCTTTGATTAATAAAAATGTCAAAAAAGAAGAATGTGGAATGTGTGGTGATTTATTGGTATTTACAGTTGGATAGAACTCCAGTGGTTTCCATGGGAGGTGCATCCATGCTTCCCATCCAGAGACTCAGCAAGTTCCAAGTAGACTTCTCTCCTTCCTTATTTCTATTTCCCACTTGATTAAAAACAGACACTGGAAGACAGCAATTTCTGCACAATGACTTTTTTGCTGCAGCACCATTTGTCAAACTCAGGCTCATTTCAGGTGAAAAAGTATTAAAGCACTGACTCAATATAAATTGGGGGAAAGTTTGTAGCAGAGAGGTATCTTTTGTTGGAAAAGGTGATAGATTCCTGATGTTTAAGTCATCCTGGTGGCAGCATTTTTTCTCTATTATATTATCAATGTCTTCTTTGATGGTGGGACTTTTAGGCTTGTTTCATTGCTGTATGGCCTGCATATATAAAATATTCCCCTTTTTTGATAAGTGCAAAAAGAAGCTCTGTATTTTGTGTGTCTAATCTTCAAGCGATGATTTTTGCTATTTCTTTTATCATAGCCTTGAACACTTTGTCTAAATTATCATGGGTTTTTTTTGTTTCTCTTCTAGAAGGAGTCTAAGCAATGAGTCCTTATGTTTTAAATGTGTTTTTTTCTTTTTGTAAAGATCAACCAGAACATGATTTAATTCCTGTAAGGTTTGCATTTTCTGAGTCTGGCTGTGCTGACTACTGAGCCCTCTCCTGTAGTTTGAGCAGCGACTGCTCCTTGAACTTCAGCATTTCTCCCCCTGTAGCTGCTGTGTTATGTCCAGATTTGCTGGCCAATCCACAAAGAGGACCATTAAAACCAAGGGAGACATTAAAACTTTAATTCAAATATTAAAATATTAAAATTCGTCCAGCTCTTGAGTCCACTCGGACTCCCAAGTCCTCTGCAAAGTTGTTTTCCCCCGGGTCAGTCCCCAACCTGTGCTGGTGTCTGGGGTGATTCCCAGCCTTTGGGGTGAGCATCACAAAGTGGTGCCTGAAACCCAGGCACTCCTAACTTTCGGCCTCCTTCAGTGGGAATAGCAGCCAGAGATTTTGTGTGGTTCAGCTGTGCCCTGTGAGACCCAGGAGAACGCAAGATAAAGGCAGCGTTAGTGGCTGTGCCACCGTGCAGAGGTGTTTTGTTGCCCCCTGCAGTGGATGCTGGGTAACTTGTCACTGTTGCCGGGGTTGCTTTGGTTTTATTTTGTAATTATCTGAGTGGTTTGCTTTGTTCTGAATTAGTGGCATGACTAAAACCCGATCCTTTGTGCTTTTTATGCCACTACACATAATTTATGTACTATTGGTCATCTGATGATCCAAGAATATTCTTCCCTACATGTACTTCTCAGTTGCTCTTATAACCAGCAGTCTCTTTTGGGGGAGGACCACACAAGTTATATAGTAACAAATGGAAGCTTCAGCAACAGCAACAGCAGGAATTCATTCTTGTGATCTGTTTTTACCAGGAATTCCTCCTCCAAGTCCTCATGGTGGTGACCAGTGTCCTTTGACTTGAACTTGGGCATGGAGAGAGCTCGGAAGCCTCCTGGTACTGGTAGGACTCTGGGGCTGGTACACCTGGTTGAGAAGAGTTTAGCATTATCCCATGTGAAATCCTTCTCTAGTTTTACCATCCCTCATCAAAGATGAGGTGGGATGTCTCCGTGTTATTTCAGGATGCAGGAAATTGTGAAAAGAAGCAGATGCAAGTGGAAAAGCAGACAGGCAGGGCAAGCAATTTCCTCCCACTGCTTTTTGGTGTGACAGGAATGAGGAGGCTGACCAGTGAAGAGCTTTATTTTGTAAAAAGGAGCTGCTAAGATAACAGAATAGTCCCAGCAGAGAGATGCACATTAAGTAACTTGCTGTTGCACTAACAGGGGCATCTGGATACTGCTGTTATGAATGTTATTAATATTAAATGCATTTAACAACAGTGGTATTCCTCCTGGTGGAAGTGAGTTTGTTGTGTCTGAATCTCTGTGTCTCCAAGGGCTTGGATCTCACTGGTAAATAGTCAGACCTAAGCTGGCATCACCGCGGCAGAGTTTGGCTATGCCTAAACGTCCAAGAAAGCATTGTCTATGAGATCCCCATGTTTATTGAGGAAGAAACAAGCACACTGCACTTTCTGACTCCACACAAGGTGGATATTGCACTAACAGCACAGTGCTAACACCATTCTGCATTTTAGAGAGGGAGAAGGGAGCTGTGAAATCCCCAAAAGAAGTGCATTGTCATCTCCACTCCCATCTTTCGAAGAATAATTTATACATTGGGATATAATGAAGACCTGCAGATGATAGTATTTTTATGGGTATGACAATTTACAAGCATAGGGAAAACTGTCCTGGAACCTAGGAAAGAGCAAATTAAAAATATTTTTGGTTTCTTCCTAAGTGGAATGAATTTTAAAAAAGAGGGTTTGGAGCAAAGTTCCTCTCCTGAATAACAAAATCTCTGCATGTGATCCAGTGTTGGTTCTATTTAAGGGATAAGCAGTCTTGAATTGATTGAGATGCTTCCGTACCCATAACCCAGCACCTTGCGAGTCCAGCTGAGTTATTCATGGCACACAAGCACTGTTCAGGAATGACAGCTTCACCATTCCTCACTGCACAGGGTTGGTTTGATGCTTGATACAATTCAAACCAGCCCCTTACACCATTTTGGTAGATAGGGATGAGAGTGAAGCAACTGCACTCCTGTTTTCTCCTCTCACAGGTATTCGGAGATGCTGCTGTGAGGCAGGTTTGGAGAAAAGCTATGGAGACACTGCGGGATGTGTGGGATCACAACGGTTACAGGTTGAGAGGATGGATGTTATTGTCAGATTCACTATGGAATTTGTTTTGGAGACGGCTGCAAACCACAGAAACCTTATTCTCCAGAGGATTCTCCAAGGAGTGCTCTGTGCCACATGCAAGCGTGCAGTTCTGGAGTTCATTCCATGCTCAGAGTCTTACTTCCAGAGATGCTAAAGTCTTCCAGGGAGCTTCAGGCATCAATCATCATCAGCTGTCTTGTTCCTAAGTGGTCAGGGCTTGGGTCCTGAACAGTGTCATTGTTTAGCTCGCATCTGAAATGAATGACGGTAAGAGTGTTGCACCAGGAAAAGATTAAAGTGATTAAAATGACAGCCACATCTTGAAATGGAATGACTTTACAGTCTGATGGGTTTCTTCTTTCCTGCTCCCAGTCATGGTAGTGCTGTAGGATCCTGTGAATTGAGGTTTACTCTCTGTTCTGTGGGATGAAGTGATGCTTGTCTGGGGAACAGTGGGGCTGTAGCCCAGAATCCAGTGCCAATTATCTCTAGAAAGCTGCAGTTTGCACATAGATAAAAAGACTATCTAAAATATTACAAAATGGAAAATAAAAATGCTGCTGCTTTCAGATAGAAGGCACAGCTTCCTTTTGTACCTGCTTGTTTTACCCTATAGCAAGCTGGAGGTGGTTTTCTTTTTTTCTGCTTAGAAAAAGGATTTTCAATCCACTCCTCTCCCTGAAAGTGAGATCAATGCAACTAGTGTTATGAAAATTCCCTTTCTTAACAGTACAGCAGCCAGTTTTTCTAGTATGAAAGTGTTTTTAAACTTTATTTATAAATATCTCTCAATTACATTGTACACTGCAATGTTCTGAGGTGGTGGAATTTTATTGGAGACTTTGGCATTGCTCATGCGTAAATATAACAAATCAAAGGAGAGTATAATCTGGAATGAAGGCCTTTGTCTTGGGGTAATGGCTTTAAACTGAAGGAAGGTGAGTTTAGAGTAGATATTAGGAAGAAATTCTCTTCTGTTGGGGTGGTGGTGAGGTGCTGCTCACCTCACAGGTGAGCAGTTAATAAATACGTGGTAATGTGTAGGGACAAGTATGTCTGGCTTGCAGGTCTCTGCTTCCTCACAGAAAAACGGGGGGAAAGTTTTGGAATTCCAGAAAATCGGCAGGCCTCGGGGCCAGAGCGCCCTGTGGGAGGCAGGCGGTCCTCCGCGCCGCCAGGGGGC